TCATGTTCCGCGATCCGTTTTCACTGATTCCGATATCTATTGCTACAGTAATCACTACCATCTTGAAACCTTTAATAGGAAATAGGTACGATATTAAATGAAGCCTAATTTTTAACACCCTTAAAAACCCAGTGATTCTGAAGCACTCTTTTATAAATATTTTCAGGACTCATTGTTTTCTAAATAAGTTTTAAAATCCTTCATTGAATTCGATTTCCAGAACATTTCTCAGTTTTGTACCTACTGCAACTTGTGGCTTAAAAAGCAATGCTTGAAGCGTGAATCGGCAGTTTCAGTTTCACGAGGCCGTTCAAAAGAGTTGCAATTGCCGCTTTGAGCCCCGTTCCCCTGGCGTGGACTGGATTGAGTAGGAACCTCCCGCACACTTATGAACTCATCCAGTGTCGGTGCGCCGTTTAAATTGGTTCGTTTAAGCGAATCGAACACCGAACCCGAGGCGGCACCAGAAGAAGAAACGAACTCGAAGAAGAGATTGAACGGAAATAAAAGGGTTCCTTTGGGCTGGTTAAGTGCCCGACGTACTTGAGGATAACGATGTGTACGCGGAGGATTATCGTGGCGGCGACGATGATGTTGCTGCTGCCCAGATGAGGCTGCTGATTTCGGCGTGATTTATGCATCTTAATTGAAATGATGGCTAACAAATTGTTTGGCGCAAGTGCGGGACAAAAATGCCAGAAGACAGAGACGCAGATAGGGCACACTTGGGGCCTTTGAAAATAAAAAGGTTTTCTGAAGAAAAGGGTTGTTTAGATCTATGTTAGGTGTAGGTTTTCTATTTAGGCAGTGCTTCCTGTTTGCCATTCTGTAGAAATTGCACTTTCAGCTTAAATAACTTGTAATTAGTATGAATTCTGGTTAAGCAAAGTACTTAAATTACCATATTTCCCATATAATTTAGATAATTAACATTAATTCAAATCACGATTTCACTAGTTAAAGAAATTATTTCCCATTCACCATTCACTGCCTTACGACCTACTAAGAACTGCACGATTACTGGCCAAGTTCTGCCAATGGCCAGACCAGAGACTGGATAAAAATCATATAACAGCCTTTTGTTAACGACTTTCACACACCACAGCACCCAGCCCACACTCGCACACATAGATTCAATTTTCTAATAGCCGCCCCCCAATCAAAACTAAGGCATCGAACTTTTATCAGTGGCCTGGGTCTCCGTTCCCCGGCAATATCTGTGGGTGGGTTTTTGGCCAGCTCTGGGCGCAAAACCAATTAAGCGGGGAATTGAAAACAAACACATAAAGGTGGAAACAAATAAGGAAGCGTTCGGGAGGATCGCCGTCTGCGATCTGTGCTGCTTGGGCCTTGGAGCTGCCGGTTAGCCCGGCTAAGAGAATCCAAATAAAATCAAATGAAATTTACCGCCAAAGCCAGGAGCCCGAAGAGAGTCACAGTCCCAAGTTGGGAAGCGCCAAAACGTTAAATACAATTCATGGCGCTCACGAGTGGAATTTAAATTATGCCCAATTAGAGTTAGGTGGCTGTTTCGGCTCGGACTTGGGTTGTGTCTAAGTCTGGATACCGTATACTTTTCGATAGGGAGGGTATATTGTATTAGAAGGTATAAAATGGATAATTGGACAAATGAATTTGTTTTTAAGGAACAAGTTCAAACGGTCTGAAAGTGATTTCCACAATAACTTCGTTTAATCAGCCAAAAAGTATGCACTGATATTTAAAGAAAAGTTTAATTTAAACTAGGGTGATCCAAAAATCCATGTTTTTTTAAACCCTTAAAAAAATATAACAAATACATATACATAACAATTTGTAGGTGCCAAATTCAGCGTCTTTTAACAATAAAAATACACTGCATAATTTTAAAATATTTTTAAAAACTCTAGAGATCTCTGTGGCACCCCAACATCCTCATTATCTTGGTTACCTAATATCTTACACTCGATATCTTAGTACCAGGTATCTTTTAGTTGCAATACGACTTAATATTCCTACTAGTTTTTACTCCGCTTTAGCCAGGCCCGGTCCAAGCAATTCCTTTGGGGCATTTGTGCGACTCCGAATGGAGATAGACAGGGAGACGGACAGGCGGGTGGGCGTGTCGTGTTCGGGGCATGTTCGTGTGGTAAAGCGCCAAATTGATTTCGATCCCCCAGAGGGGGTCTCCCCCATACCCAGCCCCAATCCGAGTGCCATCCAAATCCAACCCCCCTAGTGTTTGTTTCTCCTAGTTGCCACTGCGATTCTACACGGCTCGCAACAGTGTATGCCACTGTCCCTCGGTTCGGTTTTGATGGATTATGCGTTGACAGGCTTTCGGGAGTTTTTGTGGAGCGCCGCTGATTGTCTTTTCCAGTTTTCGTTTTTTTTTTTTTTTTTGCTTCTGTGCCGACTCGACCTGCCTTGGGAACTGGTCTTGTTATGTAAATTGCCGACGATTTTTGGTTTCGTGGGTGAAGTGCTGTCCAAGTGCTAACAAGGTACGATCGGGACCCTGGGTAGCAATTCTGGTTGTTTTTGTTTAATGGAAATGCCTTGCAGGATGTTTGGATTTCCTGGAAAATTAATGATGAGCTACAAAATAATACTTAATTATGTCGTGGGAAGACATCCTAGGGGAGCCATTATGGCAACTATGAAAAATATATTTAAAAATCACACTTAAGATTTAAGGGTAATTAGGTTTATGCATAGAACGTTTTATACAACTGAAATAAGATTAATAAATAAAATAATCTACTGTAAAGCCAATTAAGTAAACTAAAACCACTGAAAACTCGTGACCCCCTCTCACAATTATAACTTAATTTTACAACAATTTTTCAGAGGCGTCTTCAAATTAATTTCCCATAAAAGTCTCTAATTAGTAGTCCCATTCAAGGCGCCGCCTACGGCACAGTTGGGGGCTATTAAGCCTAAACTACAATCTGTTCTTGACCCAAGTCTGGTCGGGCCAAGTGTTAATATCCAAATACGCCGCATGACACTTAAAAGATCGTAAAGTTGGGATGAACCCTATATCTTTTGTTTGGAGAAAAAGAGGCGTTATCATCGTCCAATTTCGGAGTCGGTGAAAAATTAGTAAACACATTTTCAGCTCACGGGGTGGTCGAGGTTCTCTTTTATGGAGTTTCGAGAAGGGTTTCGAGTGCCTACTTAAGGAGTTTATTTTCCCTTTTTTTCCTGATGCATCCCTCGCTTGATTAGTTATTCGGCTTGCATAATTTTGTCATTCTAAAGGAATTCCGGGAAAGAAATGTTTGGGGCAGGTTGCGTCTGCGCATAATACATTAAAGTGATCTGAAAGAGTTATTTGAAGATGATTGGAATGCATGGTCATGTAGCGATGAGGACAAGTGTTTAACCATTTAAATTACTTTACTTTACAGCTCGTAAATGGAAGAATTTTAAATGAGTTTTATATTTAAATGCAGATTTATTAGGAGCTGTAATTTATTGAGAGCTTAGCTTGAGTTTTCAATATACATATGCTAATTCTTTGCATTTTGTATTTAAAAGTGAAAAGTAGGGAGAATAAGTACACATTTGTTGTTCTTTTGAGCAATTTTGTCAAGTGTCTTGACCTCAAGGATCGCTGAAATCATGGGAAAGTCTCCATCTTTAGAAATGCGCATACAAATTTAAGGAAATCCAATATTTTGTTTTATTAAACCATACCAATTTTAGAGGCTTCATAATTTAGATAATTTAAAATAAAAGCATAAAATTACTTTACCCACAAGTCTCAATATGTGTGGTTCCCTTGGTTGCGTCTAGTTGCCTTGCAATTATTTGTGAGCTAAAAACATATATTAGCACACTCTTATCCAACTAATAGTACCAGTTATTCCCTCCAAAGCTCTAAAGACATTCTGATGCGCCCGGCTTAACGAAAGGGAAATGCCAGATCACGCCCAGAACGGTTCGATGTTGCGTGACGAGAGCAGGCAACCTTTTTGCGCTCAGTAGGTCACTCGAGTGCTCCGAGACGGCGGACAAGATCCAGAGGGGAGCTGTGATTTGGGGCCAATCAATGCAGCCCGCGTAAAAGGCATTATCAATTCGAAAAATACGAGTGCGGGGCAGATATAAAAGAGCCGCCATCTCGTTGTTGTCGCCGCTTGGGGCATGTCGCGCATGCGCAATTACAAAGTCATTCCAACGCCTCTCCATCTCCCCCTCTGGTGGGCCCTTTTCCCCAGCTGCTGCCCATGATTAAGGGCATTCGTTAAGTTGCATATTGTTTAATGCGATATTATGAAATGACCACGAGAAAAAGTTAAACCAATCTGAGGGAGCTCATTCGGGTTTATTCTTATACCCTACCACAGGGTAGTTTAATGTCGATGTTGCAAGGTATGGCAAAAACAATAGAATTATATAATATTAATCTTGAAGAGTCAATATAATACACCAAATGAAATAAATCAACGAAAGTCAGCCCATATCCCTTATGTTCCTTATTTTTTATCAATTGTTAGTGTATAAAAACGTAGACGTTTATTTTTTCATAATTCGAAAAGCCTGTTTAACCAGAAGATGCTGCTCATCCTTTGCCTTCTGCGGCTATTTATAACTTCTTATCCGTATGCATGGTCGAGTCTTTTGCCCAGAGGGAAGTCGTTTTAAATATTTTGATTAACCAGACGCCACTTGCTGCCGACTCCCGCACTAATGAAACCGGGGAGCAGTTCACTGAATCATTCCCTTGCCTACCGCAAGTCATTAATTATTGTACTGTCAATTACCCCGTTTAGCATAAAAATATCACAAGTTGCTAGGGATTTCCATAAAAATTGTGACGAATAGTTTTAGTTAAAAAGTAAAACTAACCAATATTAAATGCATATGTCTAAATGAATTTAAAGCTAACGTTAGGACCAAGAAAAATGTTTATATTAGGAGAACACGGCGAACTTCGTCTTGCTGTAATTGAATGCCTTTAGGTACCCTATCGAGTTGTGCACAGATTTTTCATATTACAATGGCAATTTGCATTTTTGGTTATGCTAACTTTTTATTTCATTAAATCTTACATATTTTTAATATTTAGTTAAGAACAGTTTTTCCATTTAGCCCCTTCCAGTTAGCATGAGTAATGAGCATCGGAATGAATGAAATTTTTACATTTGCGGCAGCAGTTCGATTGGTATGGCAAACTTAAAGTCTTCGGGAAATAACTTGGCGGCATGGGGATACATTAGTTTGTAGGACTGCCTGATGGTGACATCGGCCACACCGGCTATATCGCCGATTTCCTTGTGACTACGCCTCTGCTCCGATGCCTGTGAGGCCATATAAATGGCAGCGGCAGCCACGGATATGGGAGAACGGCCCGGAACAATATCCATATCGACGGCTGTCTTGGCAATGTGCGTGGCTCCGCGTTGAACCATGTTCGGAAGGTCTACGTTGCCGTATTATATATTAAGATCTAAGGTATCAAAGAACAGATCCGGTGGCACTTACCCAAATTGGAGCAAAAGCGAGACATAAAGTCTGCCGTTGTTATCAAATCCACACTGGTTTCCAGGGCCTTCAGGGTCAATTTGAAGCATCTGCCAATTTCTTTTTTGCTGATCTTGCTAACAGCGCAGATTTCCTTGAAGGTACGAGGCACTCCTTCCTGGCGACAAGCTATATACAGACAAGCAGATGCTTTGGCATCGTTGGATCGGCCCTTCAGGTTCTTGCCGTCATGGACCTACAAAAAAAACTGCATTAAATCACAGCCTCCACGCCTTTTGGAAACCCAACTCACCTGTTTGAACAAGTTGTTGGCGCGATCGATGATTGTTTTCGGCAAATTAATCCGATCGGCCATGGAGGCAATCTCCCTAAATGCAGATATCAACGAGCGATCCGAGCTGCTCATTGTACGTCTGTTTTGATATTTGAGTTCACCAAAGGCATCAAAGGAAGCTGGGCCCGTGCCCGGGCCAATGATGGTGGATAGATCGCCACCGCTGAGCAGGGGATTCTCGGGACCACCGACACGATTGGGATCGACGCCACTCTTATCATTGCTGAAAGTTCGCCATTCGGTTCCGACGTCAATAACGCGGTCGCCAACAACGAGACCACATTCCGGGCAAATCATGTCGCCTGCCCTGTAGTCCTCGATCAATGGAGCTTCGGGGTGTGCATAGCAGCACACCTTGTTGTTGTCCAGTCTGCGGGAAGGAAGCCATTGTGAATCAAGCGGACATTATATGGTGTAATATTTTTTACCTCGATGTGGAAGCCATTTGTATTATTTAGCTTCGATAACTTCACTTCAACTGGTGATGACACTTTGCCCAATGACATATCGATAACCAAATCAGAACTTTGCATAAAAAAGTAAGGTTATTATCAGGCCTGCTCCGGTAATCGAAAACGGTACGATTTTTTCGTTTTCGATTTAAAAAACGGGCACCTTTTTCTGCCCGGAATGAGAAGTAAATATCTTCTTTTATATATAATCAGATCTTATTTCAAAAAGGAAAAAAATAGTTTACTCAGTGGTCTATTGATGTTTATTCCACACCACCACAAGATCATTCTGGCACTTAGTAATTTTATAAAAAATTTATTTCTGACCCCATATCAGTGTTCAACAAGATTTTTCTTTTTGGCGATGGGTCGTTAAGTTCATCGCCAAGGCTATTGTTGGTGGAAAAATACTTATAAAATATATAAGAATGTATTTATAAATTTTAAGGAGCGTCACAAATATTGTTTATAAATAATGCTATATAATTTGAAGGGTTGTTCATTATTTTTTAGTTTAGTTTAGTATATTATTAATGTGAGAATGAATTATTATTTTAATTTTTGAACGCCATTTTGAATAAAAGGTTGTAAAATTTGTTTTTTAAATATTGTTGGTTTTTTATCAATTATACTTATTTTAAAATTGGCGTCGTCAATTCGATGAAGCATAACCTTAACATAGGAAAAATAAGCATAGCCGTCTAGGGTTAAGTTTGTTAACGATCCAACGCATTTAATTATGTATTTTGTTTATGTTACCAATTATAGACCAATTCCTCGAATTTCATGTTAAAAGTTCAACAAGGTAAAGGTGACACATAATTATTTTCCATGGAATCAGAAATGTCAAATTTTAAAACGCTGATAAGCGGTTTTAGAGCACTTTTCGTTCGTCGCATCGCACTCTGCTTGATTTAGTAATCTCCAGTTGACAGAAAGATGCAGACGTTATTTTGGCCGAGCTTGATCATCGGGATCCTGATTCAAAGGAGCTCTGCACGACTCTTGGACGATAACTGCAAAAGCTCAACGGGTGGAAGAATTACGAACGGTAACGACGCTGAACGGGAGGCTGCTGCTTGGATGGCAGGCGTAAGTAATGAAACACATTTTCTATGTGGCGGCACTCTGATTCATAAACGTAAGTATATGTATATACTATATAAATATAAATAAATAATAGAAAATTATTTTGTTTCTTTCAGGATTTGTGTTGACCGCCGCTCATTGCATTAAAGATCAGGGCAAATTGTAAGCACACTTAAAGCTTATTATCAAAAATATTCGTAATAATATTATATAATAATAATGACCACAGATTCGTGAGATTGGGAGCGTATAACCTATCGCTCCATGTCGTAGAGTACAGTATCAGTATCAGTATATTATGGAACGGTCCAAAATGATATTGGCTTGCTTCTACTACCCCTCCATATTGTGTTTACTGGTAAGTCTTAACTGGTTAATCGCCCCTGATGGAGCTTAGTTTTGTTTTCCTCTCCGCAGGGCAAATCTATCCAATCTGCATTGATTTAAGTCCCACGGAGAAAAGGGAAGTGGGGAATGCTAACACATTCGATGCCTATGGCTGGGGAAAAACTCGGACAGCCAACATAAGTGAAATTCTTCAGAGAGTCACACTCGATCACTACGATCGCAGTAGGTGCAACAGGATAGGTCGTTTGCCACTTACCTTAAATCAGATTTGTGCTGGGTCCTCGGACAGAGACACCTGTGATGGCGATTCTGGCGGACCGCTGATCCAAAAAGTTAATTATAATGGCACTCGACATCTGACACAGGTGGGAATGGTGAGCTATGGTTTAAAATCGTGCGAAGGACTAGGGGTCTATACCGATGTCACTAGCTATGCTGACTGGATTGAGGAAAAGATTGAATCTCTATTTTCCGAGTATTCTTCACCCACTGGTAAGCATTTTTCAATGGTTTAAGAACTCTCCTTACACATCAACATGTTATTTATCAGCAGCCATCGTCAATACGGTCTCCATTAGAACTCCAACTGAAACAGCTGTTTTCGGTGCCGAGAACTTTGTCCGAGGCCGATTATTATTCAAACCATGCGGAACTTCACTGAGTACGAGAATTATGAATGGTTACAACGCCGAACCGGAGGCTGCAGCTTGGATGGCCAGAATACATAGTAATGAAACTGGGTTTGTATGTGGTGGCACTGTCATTCACAGACGTGAGTACATATACATTTATATACATTATTTAGGTATCAAATTAATTGGTTTTTTATCTCAGGCTTTGTATTAACCGCCGCTCATTGCTTAAGAGACAGACAAGAGGAAAACCTGTAAGTTTCTTAACACGCCTTCGATTCAATATAGAACTTATAATATATTCTTCCTGCTTGCAGATTTGTGGAGTTGGGAGGATACGACATACGGCTTCCAGCCCAGGAGTATAGTGTCAGAAAAAAGATTATTCACGATGGATTTGACCTAAGACTAAAGACTCATGATATTGGCCTCTTGCTACTATCACGTGTTATTGAGTTTAGTTGTAAGTGTTATCGAGCCTTATCGCTTCAAATGGTGCTTAATATGTTTTCTTATCCGCAGGGCAAATCTATCCGATCTGCATTATTCTGAATCTGCAAGTTAGGAGCAAAGTCGAAAGGGCTTTTACATTCGATGCCTATGGATGGGGAAGAACAAATAGCAGCCTAACAAGCAACCTCCTTCAGAAAGTCAATCTCGATCGATACGATCGCAGTAGGTGCAGAAAAGTATTAGGTCCACTTATTTCAAGTCAGATCTGTGCTGGATCTACTGTAGGAGATACCTGTAATGGCGAGCTGGCGGTCCCCTGACAAAAAAGGTCATTGTAAATGGGATTCAACGTCATACGCAGTTCGGGATCACAAGCATTGGAACCAGGAACTGCAATGGAATAGGAGTTTATACCGATGTCACTATTTATGATTACTGGATTGACGAGGAAATTGAAGCTCTATTTCCCAAGTATTCCCGGCAGTCTTCACCCACTGGTAAGAATGTCGTCAATATGTGAAATGTTTTCTCCATCCTATACACCATTATGTTTTTCATTGGCAGCTATCGCGAAACAGATATCCATTAGACCTCCAACTGAAACAGCTGTTTTCGGTGCCGAGAACTTTGGCCGAGTCCGATTATTATTCGAACCATGCGGAACGAGAATTATTAACGGTTACAACGCCGAACCGGAGGCTGCTGCTTGGATGGCCGGCATACATTATGAATCTGAATTTATATGTAGCGGCACCGTCATTCACAGACGTGAGTACCATATACGTTTATATACATTATTTAAGTATCAAATTAATTGGTTTTTTATCTCAGGCTTTGTATTAACCGCTGCTCAATGCCTAATAGACAGACAAGAAGAAAACCTGTAAGTTGCTTAAGATGCTTTCGATTCAATATAGAATTTATAATATATCCGTACTTTTTGCAGATTTGTAAAGTTGGGAGAATACGACATTAGGCTACCAGTTAGAATGAAGATTATTTACGATGGATTTGACCGAAGTCGAATGAATCATGATATTGGCCTCCTGCTACTATCACGTGATATTGATTTTAGTCGTAAGTGTTATCGAGCCCTATCGCTTCCAATGGAGCTTAATATGTTTTCTTGTCCGCAGGGCATCTTTTTCCGATCTGCATTATTCTGAATCTGGAAGTTAGGAACAAAGTCGAAAGTGCTTTTACATTCGATGCCTACGGATGGGGAAGAACAAATACCAGCCGAACAAGCAACCTCCTTCAGAAAGTCACTCTCGATCGATACGATCGCAGTAGGTGCAGAGAAGAATTTGAAATGTCTCTTTCTTTAAGTCAGATCTGTGCTGGATCTACTGTAGGAGATACCTGTGATGGCGACTCTGGCGGTCCCCTGACAAAAAAGGTAATTCTAAATGGGATTCAACGACATACGCAGTTCGGGATCACAAGCATTGGAACAACGGTATGCAATGGAATAGCAGTTTATACCGATGTCACCAGTTATGTTGACTGGATTTTGGAACATGTTAGGAAGTTTCAGACTAACCTATATTACTCCTAGACTGTCCTACCACATGTTTTTATTTATCTAAGCAGTTCAGTAAATTCGAAATAAATCTTTTAGCCACACGAAATTGAATACTTAAGCTCTCTTGTCCTTTGGCACATGTGGCCTGTCCTCCTCGCCAGACAAGTGAAAGTTGCTTGTTGGTTTTTATTCGGTATTTGGGCATGACACCTTGGGGCATATCTGATCAGCAGACAATAATCGAGAGTCAGCTCAAAATGTAAATTGTACAACGAAAATCGCTTAATTTTCGTACTTGCCCTGGACGAGTTGGCGAAGCTGGAAAAAACTTTACAGTTATGCCGGCCAAAGACGACAAGGACAGAGGACCATATATACGGAGCCAGCTGATTGGCCCCTGATCGATCGATCCCGACATTATCGTTACCTTCATCATCGCGATCGCCGATATAATGATGATCTTCGCTCTGTGATCTCAGCCTGATGAGATTTTATAACCATTTTTGGGCCGTAGGTCCCTTTTTGCCGGCGACCTGCGACTAATGAACACCTTAAATGGAGCTCGCCGCGCTGCACTCGCGGCGGAATGTGCCGGGGATTTATCGGGAAAGGAGAAAGGCTCAGCTACACGCATTTTGTCACATTTTGACATAGCTCATATGGCCAAAGGGAAATTCCTGCAGCCTTGAGCTAACATTCTGCCACCGTATTTGGTGGCAATTATGGTAGAGAGTGGCCAGGAGCCGAGGCCCTTTTACTTTTAAGTGCCAGTTCGCAGCCACTGCCACGTCTAGGCCCCGGTAAGGAGGCGCAAAAGTCTTCCTGGGAAGTCACGTCGCCGAAGATAAATTGTTGACAGTTTCGTTTAATTGTGCATCGAACCCTGACGCTGTTAATTGCCACAAAAATGTTGGCTCCCATAAATGGTGGGCTGCATTTTTATTTCTCCCTCCTTTTTAGCGTTAAATCTGAAGAAACCGAGCCAAACAAGAGGCACCATGGGAGTGTGTGTGTGTGGGTTGTGTTTTATGACTCTATTAGATAAGCGAGTTGGGCATGGGAAGTCAGCCCATGTCGGCCGATATGATATTAATTTTGAAAAGCCCCCACATTGTGTAATTGATATTGGTCGGAAAGAACAAGTTTGCCTTTGGTCGGAACGGGTTTCCTCCTCTCCACGGAAGTTGTCATCTCCCTAATTGGCCACGCAAATTGCTCAGCGTCTCTGTTGGTTTATCTGACAATTTTCATATTCCTTTCGTTGGGTTTTCCCCAGCACTGACCTTTGCCACCTTTGCATTCGGCGATTGGCGAAATGTTTCAATCCCAAGTCATGGCAAATAGTTGCTGACTTCAGACACGAGTCATCATCAACTTGACGACTTCGTGGGCAACAACTGAAACTATTCAGGTCAACAGTTCAACGGCGAACGGAGCAACGGCCAAAAACGAAATATTTGCCTTTGAAGTGCACATTGCTTACTTTCTAGCAAGAAGCGAAATCCTATTTGTTATATTCAGAAATTATTTTATTACCCTTTTATTGGGTTTATTGATAAATTTAATCAATTTATAAGATTAACGCCAAGAACTCTTTGTTGCTAAGCCCTAAGATATTCTTCCAAACCTAATCCCATTACCATTAAACCACAAAACAATTAATAAAGTTCCATAAACTCTGCTCACTGTCAGGTCTTATACCGAAATCCCCATTAATGGCCCATAAAATTTAAATGCACGCCAGCCAGGGAATTCGTTTAGGTCTCAAAATCTTTCAACACGTTTTCCCAACATTTTACAACATTATTTTCGTTACTATGACCATTCTCCGGTGAGCTGGGACGGAGACAAACAATCAAAAGATTGTGGCTTCAATTGGATTTGAGATGCGATGCTCTGCTCTCCAGGGCCAAAAGACCGCAAATTGTGGACGAGGAAAGGGGGAGCCCCCGAAGCTGGAGAATTTGCATTCGAACCTGAGACAGAGACAGAGAAAGAGGGAAAAATTAACTGCAATCAAGTGAAACGTCATTCAGCCGGGAGTTGGTTTGCAAACCGAAATGCGACTGGGGATAGGCTTCCATTATTAGCTGCAAGGTCTGGACCGGAGAGCAGAGCTGTAAAGTTGCTAAATTGCCGGCATTCAACGCATTTTTCTTTTCAGGAGAAGCGAAACCAATGGACTTCAGTTCGGCTCGGTTCTACTCGGTTCGTTTTCCTAGGCCTAGGCATCGGCTTGGGCCCCTCTGGGCTCTGATGGACCTTTTGAAGAGTTTTAATTAAGCTAATAAAGTTGTCTGTTCTCGGTTTGCAGTCGGCTGCTGGGGCATGGAAAATGTGGCCGACTATGTTGCATGTCCATTAATTGCTATTGTTAGACACACCAATCAAGAAAGGAGGTCATAAATGGGTTAGACTTTATTTTCCCAACAATTTACGCCTTTTTTATCAGATAGATAGAATCTATGTAAGACATTATCACTATTTTAAAAAGGTTTTCCCGGGATCAACGCCCATTTTGCACACGAATGATTTAGCATTTTCTTAATACAATGAAACTCTCTAGTTAAATGAGTCACATCTTTATAGTTATTTTCATACGACTCACGTAGCATTTTCCATAAAATATTACACCTTTAGCTGGGTAAAGTGAGGCATTAAAGAATCGTAAAAATATAGCTATGGGGATTGTGTATTTACGATTCGCTCGCGTGGGCAGCACTTGGGAAGTGTAAACTGTAAATAATCACGAAGTACATTACCGTCTATTAGCCAAATAATTTGCATGCCCCAAGTTGCAGTAGCTATATCTGGTCGTATCAGCACCACAGGTTCAAGGTAAACTGAGACGGCAACATTGTCAGGTGAAAATGGGGAGTATATCGCACATATAGTGAGGCGGCTCACACGACGTGTAATTGCTTCTCCAGATGCTCTGGCTGTGGCGCATGCTCCGATCTCCGGCGTCTGATAACATTCCAGTCTTGCTTCCTGCCCCCAGCAGCATTTCATATTCTTTACTTTTCTGATTAAGCACCAGGCTGTATCGCATATCGGTTATAAAGAGGTTGCCACAATATTCGGGGCGTAATTAAAGGTATTAAAGTGTTGACCAAGAGTGAAAATTCCTGACGTGGGTTGTTGGCTGGCACGAGAGATTGCTTCCCTGGGTGAGAAGTAGGTGGAGAAAGCGGACAATGTAGAGATCGATAACAAAAATAAGCTTCAGAATAATTGGGAGAAAAGGCATGGCAAGAACTGGATTGCAATATGTTTGTATATACCAAACAAATATAATATAGAGCCAGAAATATCAGAACGAAAAGTAAATATTAATGTGTCAAATATAATATTCTTATATTCTTGTAAATATAAAATAATTCATTTAATTGAATAAAATCTTAAAATTCTAAAATTAAAATTCTAAAAAACCTCCAGACTAAAGGTGTGTCATCTTCAGGTAGTAAAATAAAGCCACAATATCAAGTTCTACCAGCAACCAATCAATCATGGCCAAAAGCAAATAATGACACCCTCGCACCAGACAGCTGAAGCTTCCGCATTACTAAGCCAGATCATCGCGATCCTTGGACTCGAAACTGCGGAAGGTGAAACCCAAAAGATGAACAGTTGTTAACTGGAGCAGAAAACTGGTACTGTGTCGTGTCCCACAAAGACATGATCCCAGAAGCTGCAACAATGGTGATCAGGTAGAAAAGCCAGCTCACAGCATGAATTTGCGATATGCAAAATGTTGTCCCGGGAACTCTCTTCTGCCGCCTTGGCAGTCCAATTTGGCTCGCTCGTTGTTGTCACCATGATAACCATCTTTCTTGCACTCCGACGAAAACAAAGTATTAACTTGCTGCCGCTGATTTTATGGCCAGAGAGACCTGCAGAAGGTTGCGATGCAGCAAATGACAAGCAAATTACTCGGCGGGTATTCCAAAACAGTCTCTTGGCTGGACTTTGATTAACTGAGATTTAGAACGTCTTAAGGTCATATAGGAGACACTTTTAGATGAAGCTAGAATGTAACAGTTTGAGAGCCATTGTTGTTGAGGTTTTTGTATCATCCCAAAAGTATGCATCCAAGGAAATCGAACTGAAACGCCCAAAGAAGACAAATAAAGGGATATATCTAAAATAGTTTAAGTTGTATATATGTATGTACGTTTTAATTGGAAGTACAACATTTGGAAGTTTTGTTATCTTTGGAAAATATAATCAAATAACTTTAAGCTTGTCAAAAAGGAAGGTGTATTACTATTATGACAATAATTTGTTTAGTTGGAGATAGTAAGAATCAAACTATAATTGTTTATTTAAAATATAATTACTATTTTGAAAATCAGCTGCCATCTGAGAGCGATCTTGGTATACATATTAAACTCTTCTTACTTAGACAGTTATAAGTTTATACATAAACGCAAAGTAAATTCTTATGGTTTAATTTAGAAGCTCCTTTTTATCCAAACCTTAAAGTCGTGAATGTAAACTTGTTATTATATTATAATAACAAAGGTTTCGTGTGTTAATAAGGAATTCTTTGCAAGAATACAAACGTCACTTGCATAAATTACCAAAGATACTTCACTAATCTATCAATTTCAAAAAAATCCCAACGCGAATTTTCATAAATAATGAGTCTACACATTATTATAATATTTTTTGCTGCTTTGGCAGAAAGTAACTTTTCCGTAAGGCAAAAATAAATCAAATTAAGTTCCGTTGACGCATGCAAATTTTCCTCGCTGCCTGAAAGTATGCAACATGCGGAAAGCAAGATTCCCCAGCAACAAGGGAAAAGCGCCTAACTTGTTGTTTGTTTCTCCCTTTCATCCCTTTAGTGTATCAGGGAGAAAATGTTGCTGTGTGATATAATAACCAACACGCTTAGCCAATTATATGGAATATATTTGTACTTTCTAGGTCGCTGCTGTCGTCATTGTCCTGAGCACACAAAGTATCGTTGTGAGAATCGGAGGCTTCAACTTCAGTGACATGCGGGTTGGCAAGCGGAAAACAAGCAA